GTAACTTGAATAACTATTTCTAAGATGACAATATGTAATCTATTAACTAGTGATTTCCTTTTGTTTATTGTTTTGAAATTCTGTATACCTTGTACCCCTTTTCTGTTCTTTTTCTACTTAAATAAAATTTTTAAAAAAGAAAAAACCAGAAATTTCTCTGGGTTTCTCAAAAGAAATCTGGCTTCCAGGAACTTGCCATGTTGGCTGCCCTTCTGCAGTGCAGGGAAATTGGTCTAATCCAGGTTCCCAGTGAGGCAGGTGTGAGGTCAACCTAAACAGACCTGTGTGGTTGCACTTACATTTCACCAATGGCCATGGTTACATGGTGATGTGTCTGCTTTATTTGTTAGCCTGTGTGGCTACATGGGGTCTCTTCTGATGCTTGCAGTTGCACAGAGGCATTTTTGTGTGGTTCTCTGAGGCCATGTAGGTCCAGTGGCCCACAGGCACATGGGGTATACCTGAATGTTTCTCCTTGCCAATGTTAGTTACTTGAGGGAAGTAAGTTTCCAGATTGTAGCATACACAGGGATTGTGGTTGTTTCTCCCTACTTAGACTGGTTATTCAGGGGAAGCAAGCCTTCTGATGCAGCACTCAGTCTGGCTGATTCTCCCTAACCTTACTGGCTACCAAAGAATCAAGCCCTTTGAAGGCAGCAGGCATGCAGGGACATAACTGTTTCTCTCTGCCTATGCTGGTTACCTGAGGAAAGTAAACCTTCCTTCTGATGGGGAAAGGTGTGCAGGTAAATAATTGCCTTGTCAAGGCAGGTCATCTACCTGTATGTGCTCTAGAATCATTAACTGTATCTTTTATTATGGTAAACATCTCTTCAGTTATCTGAGAAATTATTTCTAATTTGTTTTTCTCTGAAACCTCATACATCTGCTTTGTTACTGCTACTGTTGCCATTTCAATGAGGCCAGTTGGGATATCTTTTTTTTTTTTGTCTTTTTCTTAGTACCGTGGTTTGAACTCATGACCACACACTTGCAAGGCAGGCGCTTGTGCCACTGAGCTAAATCCCCAGCCCCTGGGATATCTTTTATATTGTTCCATCACATTCTCACCTGGGTTTTCCTTTAATGATCTGGAAGTCTGTGGTTGCATCTTGCTTCTGTTCTTCTAATTTATATATTCCTAAGCTTAATTTTTCCATTTATGTGGTAAATTGCTTATTGTAGACAGACTTATTGCCAGTTATTGAGAACCACCAGAAAACGACTTCTTTTAAGAGACGTCTTCTACGTGCAGTTAACTTTTGGATTTTCAGTCTCTTGAAGGACCCTTTCCTGTCAATTTATTTGGGGAGAAAAGGCACTGTATATTTGCCCTATCCTATTTAGATCATTTAGCATTGGCCTACAGTATTGTTTATGACTCTCAAAAGTCACAGTTTTGATATACAAAAGAGAACAACCAAGTAGAATAACTATGTAACCTCAATAATATACTGCCATGAAACACAACTCAGTAAAAGACAAAGAGTGGTAACTATAAAATCGACATCTTTAATCATATGAACGATTGTATTTACATAATAAAATTTAAAACAAACCACCAAAGTATACATAGTAATAGTATAGTATGGTAATTTTACCCTCAGTGGATAAAATATGAAATGAGTTGGGAAAAATACATAAATAAAAAATAAGAAAATTAGTGTAAGCAAGTCTAAAGTACAAAGGAAGATTACACAATCTTTGAGAAATGCAATAAAGTACTCGGGAGCAAGCAAAAAAGGAAGAAACAGAAACAAGAGTAGAAAAATAACAACAACAAAACTAGAAACAATTTTCACATTCATACAAAAAGAATAATAGTATATCTGGGGAAAAATATGAGCAACAACAGGAAAAAAATGTGCACTTCTGGGCATGTCTCTGCTGTCACTGATATATAGACAAAGGTGGCAAATAGAGCCCAAATCTAAATAAATTTATCCCAGCAAGCCAGGAGTACACATACAGTGGGGTGGCTGATGGTCTTTTGAGTTAATTTAAAATTAATAAGGCTACTATAGGTTTCTTCCAACTGTGACTATCTTGACAATGTTTTTGTAATTATCGCCTTACCTTGTTACTGAGCCATTTATATTTAGTTTCGTTTACACATTTTTTTTTATCAAAAAAGTTAATAACTTGTATTTTTCCATCAAATTACACAATATGTATTCAAGTAAGAAATGTATTATATATGCAGTTTTGTGATAATTTAATACACTGCTTTTAAACACAGTATATCTTGCTATTTTCATATTATTTTGACTTTGTTTTCTTTATTGTGTATTCATGTGTACCTATTTTTTTATTCTACTGAATTCTCCTTAAGTAAATTGCATTCATTCTCTGTCTCTCTGTCTCTCTGTTTCTCTCTCTGTCTCTCTGTCTGTCTGTCTCTCTCTCTCTCTCTCTCTCTCTCTCTCTCAGGCACCAGGGATCAAACTTATGACCTCACACTTGGCAGGCAAGCACTCATGCTGCTAGGCTAAACACCCATCAACTGCATCCTTCATCTTCATGTTGTCATGTATAAGTCAACTAAATACCTGCTAAACTACATATATTTTCTCATCAGCTTAAGTATTCATTGGAATGGACAAGTCAAATGAGCAAGCAATTCTCAGAAAAAAGAGAAGACATCACCGTTGAATAGCACATGAAAATCTGTTCACTGGGCAACAGAAAAATGCAAATTGAAACAACACTAACTTTCCATCTTAATCTAGAAAAAGCAGTCATCAAAAAAAGTAAAAAAGTAAAAAAATTGTTGGATTGGCTGTGATGAATAACTAACCCTCATTTTGTTATGTAAGGAAAATACATTGTGAAGAATAGTTTTTAAAATTTAGATATATCATGTATGATTAATTTCTCTCAATTTATTGAAAAGCAGTTTCTGTGTTAACATCTGGTTTCTTATTTGTAAGAGAAAAGCTTCATTTGAAGTAAATATTGTGGAGATAATGATACACAGTGTATCCCTTATTGAGACTCTCATTTTATTTTATTGTTAATTTTTCATAATGTAATTTAATTATATTTTGCTATGTAACATTTTTGTATAGACAAATACATAAATTTTATATGTGTACTTTTTGTCTTCCACAGTTTTTCCTGTTCTTCTTACCTTAGGAGATGTTTAAATATTCCAGGGTAGCTCTAAAGTTATTTCTCCCTAGATAATCAGTGAATCATGGCATAAAAAGCTTGTGAAATTTAAAGGATGTTCTTTACAGATACTGTACAGTGTGCATGGGTTTGGGAAAGTTCAGTTAGCACACAGAGATTGCCTGAGCCATGAGAGTAAGCATAAGAGAAAATAAGTAGCAAAAAGCCTTTCCTGTGATTTCTGGGAGAAAAATAAACTCTCTCCAACACGTTTGAAATATACCAAAATCTAGTCATCACACTTTGCATCTCACAGGTTGCTTTTCCTTTACTGTCCTCAGATTTTGTCTGATTACCCTGGGCTTCCTCCTGCTGGAATCCTTTCAGAGTGGGTTAGCCAGAACCATCCTGACTGCACACTGTCTCTCAGCAGTGCTGCATCCTGACTGCTTCCTGTATTTCAGCAATAAACCCCCATTACATATGCAAGGCTTAGAAACCACCCCACAACCCTCTTATGAAAGGGTAACTCTGATTGCAGTGATCAGGACACTGCCTCTCATTACCTGACTATATAAAAATTTGTTCCCATTTTCAAGAAATGCCATTAGTAAGCTTTTTCCTGGAACCGATTTCAGGAAATTCAGACCAGATTATCCTGACTAACTGACCCAATAGACTTAAAGTCCTGCAACTAGACATAAAAATAATAAACAGAAATCATCAATATCAAAAGTTTTACATTAAATGGATTGATCAATAGTATTAAAAAAATTGTGAAAACTGTGGGGAGAATCGTTAGGTTGTAGTGGAACATAATTTCTCTCATAGTCATGTGAGAGCCTGAAGTTAGAAGGTGGGTTCCACCAAGAAAATGACGACAAACCTTGACAACATAATGAATCCTTTCATGAAAAGTATATAAACATCAGAGAAGTGTCTAACTAGAAAAATTTAGAAGTAATGTTTTGCATTTGACAAGGAATATGTGATAGGAAGTAGCAACTTCTGTGGCAGGAAGATGCTGTGATTTCCACCCACGCCATCCCTGCTGGAAACATGAGCAGCTACTGAGGACAACAATAATGATCAAAGACATGAGCAGTCGTGTAATGGTACTTTCTTTTCTCCAAGAGCATAAGTAACTTTCTGGGATTTTCTGACTCTGTAAAATGCTTTTTTTAAAATGATAACTTCAGCATAGGAACTCATGCAGTGATACCTGAACACAGAAAATGCGTACATGAATAAGAAACAACTTAGGTGATTAAAAATCATAGAAAAATCCCCTCTCTATCTAGCTTGATGTGCACCTCCAGGAGGCATGCAGTATGAAAGTGTGATATTGAGAGTATTAGAAAACATTCAGATATCCACAGCGAGAATCTGCCAACACAACGAGGATTTTTTGCAAGTGTGCGGACGGGAGTTTGATCCCTGGCACTGATAAAAAAAAGACAAAAAATTTATTCATAAATAAGAAAATATATAAGACATTGGACTTTATGAACCTGAGAGTTTACTTTATCTGCATTGTATTGCATTGGGTACAATGGTCTGGATTGAATTTGTAATGAATATCACTTTACAGCTGCATTGCCAGGCTGTAAGGTGGTGCACACATACGACAATATGATTGAAGATGGTGTCTCCCTTAAGTTCTAATACTGGAAGAGGAACACAAACACCAAGAAATTATTATTCTCTTTTCAAACTTGCTAAAATGAAAATGGAAACACAAAATGGTAAAGTACGAACTGTTCATCAGTGGTGTGTGGGGGAAAGACTGGTTAAGGAGGCAGAGCCTGTGAGATATCCATGGTTCAGCATCTAGGCATTGTTCCTTATGATAATGAAAAGGAAAAAGAGTAATAGAATAATGCACTTACTGCAGGATAATGAAGTCCTTGATGGGCTTTATATTAGTGGTGCCAGTGAATTCTGCACCGGTGCAGAGTGAAAAGAAGCCGCCAATCACCACATCTCCATCCTTGTGCACGCTGGTGCTCTTCCTGCGAAGGCAGTAGCCATTGCCCCAAGTGCACACCAAGGGTAGCAGCTGCAGGAGAAGGCAGGTGATACTCAAAGGCAGCATCTTCTGAGCCTCTATAAGAATGAAGTCAGAGTGCAGCTGGAAATTCCAGTGTCACGCTGGTAAATATGAAATATATGTATGTAAGTATATATGAATATAAGTATCTATGTGAGTTTTTAAACTAAACTGGAGTGTATGTATTTAATACTCCTGAGTTCTTTCAGCCAAGCCTCCTTCATATCTCTGGAGGAACTTTCCATCATTTTGCCCTGAAGCTCTGCATCTGTGATCTGGTGTCCAGGTGAAACTTGCAAAATATCTAAAGATCTGCTTTTCCACCTCCAGCCATGAAGATTTCAACCAAGAGCACTTATAAGATCCCAAGGGCCTCTTTTTATTCCAATTTTCTTCCACACTTATATCAACAGGTTCTTTACTCAGAGATCTTTACTCAGAGATCACTTGGGATGATGCAGAAGGCTTGCACCTGTGGGCTCAATGTAATGTGTTTCTGAAATGTTCTGAGAGTTCACCCTCATGAAGAATATGCACTAGTCCTTCATATATTCCCTATGATAGTCCCGTACAGCCAGGGATCATTGCAGTTACACCATCTTCTTCATAGTTCCCATGCTTGTCTGAGCACTAGTTTTATGTGCCAACATAAATCTCCAAGCCACAAACCTTTCCTATTGCCTCAGGAACCAGTAATTGCACTGAATCTATAGACACTTCAAGATCAATACACAATGATAATACATTAATGGAGTGTACATTGCAGCTTCTTCCTAATATTTTTAATTCTTTACATTGTGCTAAGTCCTTGGCTTAGTATAATGTGATGATCCATTTCTGTAACTGCAACAAATGCCACTCCAACATTTATGATTATAAAACAATCAGGGGTTTTATATTTCATAAAAGCCTTACTTACACACATGACTATAAGAATTCTACCTATTCTCTCTTGCAGCAGGGTTAGTGCTTTTATTTTAATGTTTAGATCAAAGTTTCATTTTGTTTTTAGTTTAATATATACTGATAGACATGTGTCTAGCTTTAGTTTTGGGCATGTGGAAAGCCAATGTTTATAGCATCATTTCTTAAAGCGTTTTTATTGATTTCATTGAAAATATTTGGTCTCTTTATCAAGCCCAAGTGTGTTTGACATTGTTTCTGCATCTCCCAAACTATTTCATTGACACTTACGTGTGTTATGTTTGCCAGTGCCGTGCTATTTTCAAAATATGTAGTATGATTTTAAGTCAGGGATTGTGATGGACCCTGCCTTGTCTTTTTTTTGTCTGGAATTGTGTCTTGTTTTCTAGATCTCTCCTGGTACCAAATGAAGGCTATGAATGTTTTCACTAGTTATGTGAAGCATGCTAGTGGTGCTTTCACTGGGATTGAATTAAAACTGTATAAAAATTTTGTAAATTATGCTATACTAAAACACCTGCAGAGGCTTCACATTTTCATCTGGCAACATGGCACTTGAGTGCAAAAGAAAGACAAAGACAATATTCTGCACTTGAGGAGGTCTGGGATGCTCCAGTGCTCTCTGTGGAAAAAAGAACCACGGCTACAAGAGCTCATAGCTTTTATTGCTGTCAATAAGGGAGGTGAGTGGGGGGCATGGTACAGTACAACAGAAAAATCTTTTCAGACATTGGTCATCAGGACAAACAGAACACCACTCATCAGGCAGAGAGGCTCTCCATTTATCAATGCGATGGATAGCTTGATGGATGGAAGGCTGGCCCATTTACTGCAGGAGAGTATATTATTTAAGAGTCACATATCCTCATCTGTGATGTTACCACATGTCTCAGTGCTGTAATCTCACAAGCTCTTACTCAAGTCCCCATTCCAGCCACAAGTGCAGGGAGGAGACAGTTCTCACCTGCGTGCTGCAATGAGGCATGTTGATGTTTTAGACAAAAAATTTGTTTATTTATCTATTTATTTAAAGATAAAAAGAAAAATCAACAACTACCAGACAATCAAATAACAACAACAATAAAAGCAAAATGACAAAAAAAGTGAAATAGGATTTTAAAGCAAGGTGATAGGAATGTAGCAATGGTTGTTATATTGTGTATTGTTATCTTCAAAATAGTTTCTCAGGTTACCAGATGCAGGTATGCAAGATTTATCAAACAATATAATTTCACTTTGATCAGTCTGTTTCTCTTTTACCGAATCTAGTGGAAAATTCAGATCATATTTAGTCTTTCAGTTTTTTACGCTAGTGAGACAAAATGGTGTTTACACATGCAAGTCTGATTGACTTTACTTATGAGAATATTTTCTAGTTGTGCCCATTTATAAATAACTTTGACTTTATCTTTTTTACATCTGAATAGTATTACATTGTATAAAGATGACACATCATTTTTATCCATTCCTCAAGTGATTTCAGTTGTTTCCAAGATTTGGCTACTGCTAATCATGCGGCTACAAATATAAATGCACATATATTGCTGTGGCATGATGTTTTCAATTATTATTCCCAGAAGGTGAATAGTTGCTGTGAATGGAATTATAATCCTAGGCTTTTGAGGAATTTCTATACAGATTTACACAGTGGTTGTACCAATCTACACTCCCACCAACAGTGGAAAACTGTTCCTTACCAGCACCACCCCGCCCAGATCCTGCAGCATTTGTTATTGATTAATTTCTTGATGCTAACCATTTATTCTGGGGTATTACTTTCACTTGCAGATCTAAAATGACCAAGGACATTGAGTACTTTTATATATTTTTGCACAGTGCACAGAGGTTGTAAGCAGCAAGGTAGAAACTAGCAAGAGAGTGAGACACACCTTTTTCCTGACATTACATCACATCCTGGCTCCACCCCTAGGCCAGTGTAGCACTCACACCCCCAATCCAAGTGGTAGGCAATGAACCAATTGCAAATGCATAATACAAAGGCATGAGGCTTGTGGGCCACCAACATAACCATGACATTCCACTCTTGGCCCCTAAGGACTCGTGCACATCCTTTATACAAAAAACCTTTGGTCTATCTCCAAAAGTTGCCAAACTCCTAACATCTTCAGCATTGCTGAGAAGTCCAAGTCCCAAGTCTCCTCTCATGTTTATAGCAAACTCTTAACTATAACCACTGGTACAAATGAAACAAGGTTAAACATTTTTGAATTGCAAAGGCAGAAGATAAACATTACAATTCTAAAACTTGCAAATGGGAATATAAAGCATTGGAAACAAAGCAAGTCCAACATCCATCAGGATGAACATTAAGTCCATGCTCAGCATTTGAAGCAATCTGGTTGCAAGCTCTAAAATGCTTGGGTGATTCCAGCCTCCATGGCACTCTCAGGGATTTCACAGCTTCTATCTTGAACCCTCTCTGTTCACTTTTTGCAGCTTTTCTCGGATGACCCACATACCTCGCTTTTCCTCACTTCTGGGGTCTTCATTGTACCTTTGGCTTCACCTTTACATCTTTACAAATTGTCTTCTTAGGGGCACACTTCTTGGCCTCCCAGGCCCTTTGCAATCAAGGTGGAAGCTTTCTTAACCTCAGAATTTGTGCATTTCCCTGCACCTAAAATCAGCACCATGTGGATGCCACCAAGGTTTGCTGCCAGCTGGAGTAGTAGCCAGGCTTTTCTCTCTCTTGGCTGTAGGGGTCAGTTGCCTGGATTGCTGGGCTATGTGAACCTGATTTTGAAGAAAAGCTTCTCTATATTGCTGCCATTCTGGAACCTCATGTGGCTGCTGCTCTTTTGGAACCTCATGTGGCCTCTGACACCATTCTGGATCATGGTGCTCTGCAGCTTTTCCCTTTGAGCAAATTCTTTTGCTTTTTCAGTTTTGAGGCTGCAAAGGGTGGAGATCCACTGCTTCCAGGGATACCCCATGGCCATCTTTCTTATCTACTTGTTTCTTCTCAGCAATCAAAGTCTCTGTTCTATCTTTACATTCTAAGGCTTTACTGTTGTTTTCCTTCTTTTTCTTTTTCTTTTTTTTTTTTTTTTTGTCTTTTTGAGACAGGTCTCACTGCAGTTCAGGCTGGCCCTGAGCTCACTTGATAGACCAGACTGGTCTCGAACTCACAATGATTGTCCTGCCTCAGCTTCCAAGGTGCTGGGATTACAGGCATCAGCCACCAGGCCCAGCTCTGTTGTTTTCCTTCTCGCCAGATGCACAGTATTTTAAATTATCCTGCTGGGCTCTTTGCTCTTGATTCTGGATAAAATCCCCCAACAATAGCTATGCCACAGCCTCAACTTTTTAAAAAATTTTATTTAAAAGGAAAAAGAGAAAAAACAAAACAAAACAAAGCAGTGTAAGGGTACAAGTAATACAGAACTACCAAAAAAAAAAAAAAACCAGTAAGAGATCACCAGGTAATAGATTACATATTATCATCTTAGAGATAGTTGCTCAAGTCACAGTATCAAAGCATATAAAGTGGACATTCAAACAGTGAAGCTGCAAACAGTTGTGTTCAATGATCCAACCAAAAACATTAATATGGTCAGCTATTTAACACCCCTAAACACACTTGCTGTTGTATCCCTTAGAGCACTTTTTTCCCTTCTCTTTTTTACAACAAAATTTACACATTTTGGGTTTTATTACTCCTTAGTTCTTATTACATTTTTGGGGGGAGAGAATAATGTCAGATATGGCAAAACAAAGCTGTCAGTCAAAACCAAGGATAGATATAGCACATGATGTAAAAACAGAGTACAAGGTTATCAACAATGGTTACCATAATGTCTCATTTCCTTAAAAAGAATTGTCTATCTCATTAGGTATTATAAAGGTAAACAAAACAGTAGAGAACAAGACCAATAAAACTTAAGCATTGTAAACATTACAGGAATTCCAAAGGAGAAAATAGTCAAAGCAGAATGGGCATCTTAGTGAATCTTATTGCCTTAAAAGTAGTGGCCTATATCCTCAAACTTGATACTATCATACAGAATGGAACAGAGTCTAATCAGTCAAAACAAGATAGTGGGAGTATTACAGGACTTCAAAACAAGTTCATAGGAAATCAAAAAATGTTACTATTATATATCCTGCTAATTTTTAAAAATTTTCCCCTTAATTAAAAGAAAGCATGAAAATAACTAAATAATTTTTTAATGAATAAGGGAGAGATTGAGATAAAAGAGGACATAACAATATAACAATACAGGTCAAAGCATGACTGTTTCAGCAACCTAGTGCTTCACCACCAAATAACCTGACTTAATAGTAGTTACCATAGTGTCTGTATTTTTCCTTGAAATATTTGAATAAAACTTCATATACTATAGCCACAAATATTTCCATATCAAGAAGCCCAGAATAAAACCTTTCCAATTAATAAGTGAACACTTTATAAGGCTTCAAGGCCACACAATGGGGAATCATGATTACCACATATTTTTATATATTTGAATCATTACTTACATTAGGGAAACTATTCAGTATTCACACATGTGAGATTATTTTATTTCACTTATGAGTATGGTGTCAAGCTGCGCCCATTTATTGATAAATATCTCAATGTTATCCTTCTTTATAGCTGAGTAATACTCCATTGTATAGAAATACCATGACTTTTTTATCCATTCCTCAGTTCATGGACACTTGTGTTGTTTCCAAGATCTGGTAATTACAAATTGTGCTGCTATAAACATAGGTGCACATATATCACTGTGGTATGATGCTTTCAGTTCTTCCGGGAATATGCCTAGAAGTGGAATAGCTGGAATAAATGGGACTTCCAGTCCCAGTTTTTTGAGAAATCTCCAGACTGACCTCTACAAAGGTTGTACCAGTCTACACTCCCACCAACAGTGTAGGAGAGTTCCTTTTTCCCTACAGCCTCTCCAGCATTTGTTGTTGTTGGTTTTCTTGATCCTGGCCATTCTTTCACGAGTGAGATGGAATCTCAGTGTGGTTTTAATTTGCATTTCTCTAACGACCGATGATAATGAACATTTTTTCATGTATTTATTTGCCATTTGCATTTCTTCATCTGAAAAGTGCATATTCATCTCAGATGCCCATTTTTGGATTGGATCTTTGAATTTTGGGGGTCTGAGTTTTTTAAATTCTTTATATGTTTTAGACAAGTGTTCCTTGTCTGAGAGAGAGTTCACTAAAACCTTTTCCCAGCTTGCGGGTTTTCTTTTCTCTATGCTGGAGATTTCTTTTGACATGCAGAAACTTTTTAATAAGAAGTGGTCCCAGTTATTGATTCTGGGAAGTATTTCCCGTGTGGTTTGAGTCCTGTTCATGAATTCTCTACCTACTCCTATGTCTTCAAGGTTTCTACCCAGTTTGTCTTCCAATAGATTTAGTGTTTCTGTTTTAATATTTAGATCTTTGACCCATTTAGATTTTAATTTAGTACATGGTGATAGACATGGGTCTAGCTTTAGTTTTTGGCAAATGGAGAGCCAGTTTTCCCAGCACCATTTATTAAAGAGACTGTCGTTCTTCCAGTGAACCTGCTTGGCCGCTTTATCAAAGATAAGGTGGTTGAGTGTGTTGGTAGTTGTGGTTGTATCTTCTAATCTATTCCATTGATCTTTGGCTGTGTTTTGATTCCAATACCATGTTGATTTTACTACTGTTGCTTTGTAGTATAACTTCAAGTCAGGGATTGTGATGCCTCCTGCTTTGCCTTTGCTGCTTAGAATTGCATTTGCTATTCTAGGTCTCTTCTGGTTCCAGATGAATTTTAGGAGTGATTTCTCTAGATCTATAAGGTATGTTGATGGTATTTTTCTTGGGATTGTATTGAATCTGTATAACAGTTTTGGGAGAATGGCCATTTTCACAATGTTTTTTCTTCCTATCCATGAGCAGGGAATGTCTTTCCATTTTCTGAGATCATCTTCATTTTCTTTTTTCAGTGTATTATAATTTTCACTGTATAGGTCTTTCACTTCTTTCGTAAGAGTAATTCCTAAATATTTCATTTTTTTGCTTGCTAATGTGAAGAGTGTAGTTTCTCTTATTTCCTGCTCTGTGATTTTGTTGTTCATGTATAGGAATGCTATTGATTTCTGAGTATTGATTTTGTATCCAGCCACATTACTGTATTTATTTATTATATCTAAGAGTCTTCCAATGGAGTTTAGGGGGTCTTCTATGTAGAGTATCGTGTCATCTGCAAACAATGATAATTTAACTTCTTCCTTTCCTATCTTTACCCCTTTCATTTCTCTCTCTTGCCTAATTGCTCTTGCTAGTACTTCCAGGACTATATTAAATAGGAGTGGTGATAAAGGACATCCTTGTCTTATGCTTGATTTTAAAGTAAAGGCTTTCAATTTTTGTCCATTTAGTATGATGCTGGCTGTTGGTTTGTCATAAATGGACTTTATTATATTGAGGTAAAGACCATCTATTCTAATTTTCCGTAAAGTTCTTATCATGAATAAATGTTGGACCTTATCAAAGGCTTTTTCTACATCTATAGAAATGATCATGTGATTCTTACTTTTGGCTTTATTTATATGGTGGATTACATTTATTGATTTACGTATATTGATCCAATAACGTGCAAGGGATGATTTCAACTCTTTCGCATTTGTTTAAATATGTTCTGTGAGCTAATATATGGACTATTTTAGAGAATGATCCATGTACTGCTGAGAAGAATGTGTATTCTGGTGTTGTTGGGTGGAACATTCTGTATATGTCTATCAAATGCATTTGTTCCCAGATGTGATTCAGTTCTGTTATTTCTTTACTCATTTTCTGTCTGATTGATCTGTCCTTTGGTATCAATGGCATATTAAGGTCTCCTGTTACAATTGTGTTACTGATAATTTGAGTTTTCATTTCTGTTAATAATTGTTTTATATAATTGGGTGCTCTGGAGTTTGGTGCATATATATTTGAGATAGTTATCTCTTCCTCTTGGAGTTTTCCACTAACGAGTATGTAGTAACCTTCTTTGTCCTTTATGGTTATTGTTGGTTTAATGTTCATGTTGTCTACAAACAGAATGGCTACTCCTGCTTTTTTTTTGGATTCCTGCTGCATGAAGTATTGTTTCCCATCCTTTGACTTTCAGTCTGTGAGTATCCTTCTGGGTTAGATGTGTTTCCTGTAAACAGCATATGGTTGGATTTTGTTTCTTGATCCATTCTGCTAGTCTGTTTCTTTTGATTGGTGCATTGAGACCATTTACATTAATGGTTATTACTGTTAAATGCTGGTTTATTTTTGACATGTTATCTCTCTGCTGTTGCATCTTTATCTTTCTGTTGTGTTTAATTATCTGCTTTGCTTAGTGGTTTTTTCCTTAGTGTATCTAAACTGTCTTTCAATATTTTTTGCAGGGTTGGTTTGGTGTTCATGAAGTTCTTCAGCTGTTCTTTGTCATGGAAGTATCGTATTTCACCATCAATTTTGAATGATAGTTTTGCAGGATACATAAGTGTAGGTTGGAAATCATTTTGCTTTTGGATCTGGAATACTTCACTCCATGCTCTTCTTGACTTTATTGTTTGTGCTGAGAAGTCTGCTGTGATTCTGATAGGTTTTCCTTTGTAAGTGATCTGTCTTTTCTCTCTGACAGCTTTTAATAATCTATTCTTGTGTTGGATTTCTGGGATGGTGATTATTGTTGGGCGCAGGTGCTCAACATACCATACCCCACCCGGGACTAAGGACCACGCTGGCTTCCGCAATGCGCTACGTCCCTCTCCAAATTAGTCACCCCGTACTCACTTCGTATTCACCACAGCTGGGCATATTAGCCAGAGCCCGTGTCTCATTCCAGCCCTTCCTCCTCGTGGCAGCCTGATTGGCTACAGTCAGATATATAAGCCAGAACCTGCAACAATAAAGTTGGCAGTTCCTGTTACCCACCTGAAGCGTTTCCTGTCTCATTGGGGAGCTGCGCCGGTCAACTGGTGGCCCGTACGGGGAACGAGACCCTCTCTCTGACAGTACGAGGAGTGCTGAGACCCTCTCTCCGACAGTACAGGGAACCAACCTCTTTGTCCGCTACAGGTAAAACCGTCAAGCGCCGATGGCGGGGGCTACTCGGCGGGCGGGGGGCTGACAGGTTAAACTGTTCAACAGGCAGCGAGTGCTGCTGGGCCGGATAGCGGGGGCTATCGGGCAACCTTGGGTGGATGCATCGCAAGGATTGAGGAGCTCGTAAAGAGAGTTCCGGGGGCCGTAAAGAGGCCGGATTGAGGAGCTCGTAAAGAGAGTTCCGGGGGCCGTAAAGAGGCCGGATTGAGGAATTCGTAAAGAGGGTTCCGGGGGCCATAGAGAGGCCGGATTGAGGAATTCGTAAAGAGGGTTCCGGGGGCCATAGAGAGGCCGGATTGAGGAATTCGTAAAGAGGGTTCCGGGGGCCATAGAGAGGCCGGATTGAGGAATTCGTAAAGAGAGTTCCAGGGGCCATAAAGAGGCCAGTTTTAGGGGCGCCGTAAAGGGGCGCGGGGACTAAGCTGTCCCTGTTATAAAAAAAAATAAAGGAAAAAGGAAACAAAAATAAAAATAAAAAGAAACTCTTGAAATTCTGATTAACATGGGTAATGGATGTAGACACCACCGAAAGAGGGGAAGTCACACACATGCAGTCAAGAGGGCCCTACTCTGAGGCCATAAATGAGCTGCAACACATGATTTCTCAGAGTAAATGGGTCAATGAAAGCGAGTATGGGATCCTAGGGCCGCCCCGTATAAGACCTACGGCTCTGCCTCCCTACCCACCAGATTATCATGTTTACCCGAGACCCTGCCATCAGCTATGTAGCTGCCCGCAACGGGTCCAGGCGTCCTCTGGGACATTCCAGGAAGACCTATGGCATCAAGTCAAAAGAGAGGACCCAGGAGGCCTGGGCCGTTTTCTCCATGCTTTTCCGGTTGCTGTAGATGCTCAGGGAAACAGAGCCCACCTGCCTGTAGATATAAAAGTGATAAAGCACCTTAAGGAGGCCAGCACCATGTACGGTGTTAACGGGGCATATACCCTGTCCCTAGTAGAAGCCCTGGCAGGAAATGCCATGACACCTGCTGATTGGGCCAGTTTGTGCAAGGCGGTGCTCAGCCCGGGCCAATATCTTGATTGGAAAGCTTGGAATGTTGAACTTGCCACAGAACAGGCCCAAGCTAATGCCCGGAACAATCAGGCCGCCTGGGATGTGGATATGTTATTAGGACAAGGGCAGTATCTCAATAACCAGCTGATATTCCCGCAAGAGGTGTATGCACAGATAAATAGAATAGCCATACAAGCATGGAAACGGGTCTCGGCTAGGGGAGAAGTCTCAGGCCACTTGACAAAAATTTTGCAGGGCCCGAGTGAGCCTTTTTCAGATTTTGTGGCCCACATGATGGAGGCGGCAGGGAGAATTTTTGGGGACGCTGAGACAGCCATACTGCTCATTAAGCAGCTCATTTTTGAGCAATGTACTAAAGAATGTCGCTCTGCCATTGGTCCATACAAAGATGGGCCCCTTGAGGTATGGATAAAACTCTGTCGGGAGATCGGGGGGCCATTAACCAACTCAGGTTTGGCGGCCATGTTAATGAAGCTAACTAAAGGTTAGGAAGGCAGAGTGGCGCCACAGAATGGTGCCCGCCCGAAAGAAGGCTGCTTTAAATGCGGCAGACAGGGACATATAAAAGAGACTGCCCATTTTGGAGACCCAGAAGAGAACATCTCCCTTAGGGGCAGCCTTAGGGGCAGGAGACCGCATCGCTCAGATGCTAGTTTTACCCAGCCATCATGGGGACTATCCATCATTGTCTGGTATTAGAGGAGACAGAGGAAAGTTAGGCCATATCCAACCCTCAGACATGGAATTCCCTATAATCCTCAGGGCCAAGGCATAGTTGAGCATGCTCATTAAACCCTCAAGTCTGTTTTGTTTAAACAAAAGGAGGGTATTGCCCAGGGCATGACACCTAGGGACAGACTCCAACTCCCCTGGTTAGTAGCCTCCTTTTCCCCTCCTTCTTGTATCTCGTACGGCCCTTGCAGCCAATGACTTTTCTAAATTGCTCCACCACAACCTGTTATGTGTTACAATGTTGGGATAACAGTGCACTTTCAGCTGTCGTTATGCAGGTACTCCAGTTCCAGCTATGGCAGACCCAGATGAGTTTCCTGTGATCCAGCTCCTGCGCAATGGGGGAGATTTTGGAATCACGGCCACGATAGTGAGCTACACTTGCCGCATTCGGCAATTTACTTCTGCTCTGTCGGATTCGCAGACAAAGGAATAGGGACAAAGTAATTATCAAACAAGCATTGCTGGCTGTAGAATCTGGTCAAAGCCCGGCAGCATGGCTCGCCATGCTGTGACGCAGGTGTGGAGCAAAGCATCGCAGGGGGTGTCGTCCTTGGCCAGGAGACACCCCAGTCTCCATGTTGGTGAGCATGCGGGTTGGGCTCATAAAACAGATTTCCCGCCCCCTCCAAAAGAGCACCAACGAGTAGTGAGGTACTGCCATGACGGCCGCATGGCACCTCACGAGGGGCGCCGACCTCTGGAGACCCTGCGTCAGTTATAAAGAAAGGGGGAGATGTTGGGTGCAGGTGCTCAACATACCATACCCCACCCAGGACTAAGGACCACGCCGGCTTCCGCAATGCGCTACGTCCCTCTCCAAATTAGTCACCCCGTACTCACTTCGTATTCACCACAGCTGGACATATTAGCCAGAGCCTGTGTCTCATTCCAGCCCTTCCTCCTCGTGGCAGCCTGATTGGCTACAGTCAGATATATAAGCCAGAACCCACAACAATAAAGTTGGCAGTTCCTGTTACCCACCTGAAGCATTTCCTGTCTCATTGGGGAGCTGCGCCGGTCAATTATTATATGTCTGGATGTAGTTTTATTTTGGTTATGAGTATTTGGAGTTCTATATGCTTCACTGATGTCAGTTTCTGATCTCATGCTTGGGAATTTTTCATCTATTACTTCTCTAAATATCCTCTTGACATCCTTTATGTTGTCTCCTTGGTTTTCATTAATCCCTATTATTCTTATGTTATTTTTCTTTGCATCGTCTTGCAGTTGTTGAATTGTTGTTTACTGATTCCTTGTAATTTTTAAAAGATCTTTCCTTTCCTGTTCACTAGCTGCAATCCTGTCTTCAAGGTCTGAAATTCTATCTTCACTTTCATTGAGGCAGTTTTTACAACTTTCAGTCGAGTTTTTTTTATTTCCTGTATATCTCTGTGCCTCTGCATTATGTATTCTGTTTGTTTCTTATATTGCTCATCTAGGGATTCTATCTTTTTTTTTAGTTCCTCCAATTTTTTAACAGTGTTTTCTTTAGATATATTCAGAATCTCTTCCATTTCTTTTATCATTTCTTATTTTACCTGGGAGATTATTTCGAGTTTGTATTTCTTTAAAGCTTCCTGGAGTTGCTTGTTAATTTCAGTAGCTATTGTGTCCGATATTTGAGGTGAATGGCATATATTTTCTTCTATATACATTGCTCCTAGGGTTTCTTGAGGTGGGTTGGAGGTTTGAGGTTGTAATTTGTTCTTTCGTTTTGTCATTTTCCTATATTTCTCTGTTTCAAGTGTTATTTGAAAGCTTCCTCAGTGTCTGTTGGAAATCCCCTTCTATGTTCACAGCTCCTGAGACTCTGGCACCCCATTACTCCAAGCCACTGGGCCTGTAGAACCAATGGCCCTCTTCTGCCTGTTTAGAACTCTGTAGTTCCAGATAAGCTGGGCTTCAGGACACTGTGCACCCACTTGTTTATTGGAAGCTCCACAGTTCTCCAAGCGCAGCTGGGATGGGGAGACAGATGTAGATGCCTCAAACCCACTTATCCACTTCACTGCACCCGGAAACCTGGAGGGTCCCAAACAGTCTGGGCTTTGGGCAGAGTGCACTGAGCACTTACCACAGGCCGTGGGGCCTCTGGAACCTGTGATGCTCCCCTGCTTGCTGAGATATTCACAGTCCTCCTGAGCCTCAACTTTTTAAAAAAGTTTTTAAAAATTTTATTTAAGGAGAAAAAAAAAGCATAGAAAGGGTACAAGTTATACAGATTTTTGGTGAGCCTCAACTTTTGACTGCCTTGAAATTTTCTTTGCCGGATTAATCAGTCCATTTCCCTTAATCTCAGCAAATTCTCTGGACATGAGAAAAATGCAGACAAACTTTTCGCCAAGCCATAACACACATCACGGGGAGTCCAACAACCATTGCAGTCCTTCTTCACAGCAGAACCCCACCAAGCCTGGTCTTTATCATCAGGACTTCTATCAGCTTTCTGGTCTCCTGAGCTCTGAACAGAATCTCTTTACAGAACAGCCTAAGTTGCTCCAGCTCTATGCATCCAGGCAACATGTCTGAAGCTTTCCAAATTCTGCCCACAACAATTTCCTAAGCCTCTCAAAAAACATGGTCAGGTATAGTCTCAGCAAATGACCCTACTCTTCAGTACCAAATTCTCTTATTTACTTTTTAATCATTGCTGAGACAAAATACCTCATGCCCAAAGTCAGGGAAAGGAAAGGTTTATTTCTTAAAGGTTTTGGAAGTTTCAGTCCATTTTCAGTTGGCTCCAAGGCAGAATGGCATGGCGGGCTGAAGTTCATGGAGGTTGTAAGCAGCAAGGCAGAAACTGGCAAGAGAGTGAGACACACCTTTTTCATGCCATTACATCCTGGATCCACGTGTAGGCCAGTGTCGCACTCATACTCCCAATCCAAGCACTAGACAATGAACCAATCACAAATACATAATGCAAAGGTGTGAGATTTGAGAGCCACTGATGTAAACCATGACACAGGGGTAACTATTGTGTTTGCAGACAATATGAACTTCAAACCAACAATGATCAAAAGAGACAAAGGAGATCACTATGTACTTGTTACAGGAAAAATTCAAGAGGAAGAGATAACAATTATAAACCTAAATGCCCCAAATAAAGGAGTACCCAACTACATCTAGTCAACCTTATCAAGAAAAGGAAAGAAAAACTCTAATTCTTGTAATTGAGAATGAAAAATGTGAAATTGCTACAGATCCTGTTGAAATTCAGAAGGGCCTCAATACCTACTTTGATAATATTTATCCACATAGGCTGGAAATCACAGAGGATATGGACAGATTCTGAGAAATGTATGAATTAGAAAATCTGAATGAAGACATAAAAAATTGAATAATACAATATCAGGTAGAGAAATATAAAACATATTTAAAAACTTACCAACAAAGAAAGCCCAGGTTCTGATAGAGTCATAAATAAATTCTATGGGGAATTTAGCGAAGATTTAATGCCACTACTTCTCAAATTCTTTAATAACATTGAAAGAGAGGCAATTCTCCCTAATTTATTCATAGAGGCTAACATTATTCTGATACCAAAACCAGAGAAAGAGCCAATCAAAAAAGGAGAACTATAGGCCAATCTCCTTAATGAACA